GTGTTTTGTTGGCCGGGGGGGGGTGTCTTTTTCACGCATGCATCTTTTTCCTTTTTTGGCTTTTAACGTCCCTTCTGCTGTGTTTTTTGGTGTTTTTATGAATGATGGTCACTCATTGGCCTGATAGGTGTATTCTTTCCAAATTTGGTGCCAATTCATCCAGTGGGTTTTGAGTTATGTTAATCCCACAAACTAATATTCCATTTTTATTTATATAGACACTAGCTGTCCTCTGCAATGCATTGCTGTGGCCCAGTCTGTGTATATTTGTTTTGTGTGTGTATATATATGTGTGCTTATATATTTGTGTATATCTGGTTTAGCGCATGCGTTGTAATGTATTTTTTTATTTTTGGCTTTTTAAGTCCCTTCCGCTGTGTTTTTCGGTGTTTTTATGAGTGATTGTCACTTGTTGGCCTGATAGGTGTCTTGTGTCCAAATTTGGTGTCAATTCGTCCAGTGATTTTTGAGTTATGTTACATTTTTATTTATATAGATAGATATATAAATGGAAAGACTGATCATGATTCTACTTTCTCCATTTGCTAATATCTCCATATGGAACTTCAGCAGATCTAAAAGCAGCCTGTCTTTTCCACTTGCCTCCTCAAGATAGCATTTGATATGGCAAGTGGCATATAAATTGCTTAAATATTCATTAATAACAACTCTTGGCTTACAGGTAGCTTGCTGAAGAAAGAAAATGGCTTTGCAGTCAGAGTGGAGTGAAAATATTCCAGCTGTTTTGAGGCCTTTGGCAGCTGAAGAAGCCGAGGCTGCAAAAGGTGAGTTTCCTTGTGGGGCAAAGCTTTAAAGGGGACTTGCTTTTGAGAACAGCAATCCTGGGGTGCATCTATATCAGGCATGGGCAAACTTCGGCCCTCCAGGTGTTTTGTACTTCAACTCCCACAATTCCTAGCAGCCGGTAGGACAAGAGGGATCCTCTCACTTCTGCAGGAGTCTACTGTATACCATGCAGCTGTGGACAAATCTACATAGGGACCACCAAACGCAGCATTGCACAAACACGAATCAAGGAACATGAAAGGCACTGCAGACTACTTCAACCAGAGAAGTCAGCCATAGCAGAGCACCTGATGAACCAACCTGGACACAGCATATTATTTGAGAACACAGAAATGCTGGACCACTCTCACAACCATCATGTCAGACTGCACAGAGAAGCCATTGAAACACACAAGCATGTGGACAATTTCAACAGAAAAGAGGAAACCATGAAAATGAACAAAATCTGGCCACCAGTATTAAAAAACTCTAAAATTACAACAGCACAACAACAGAGAGGAAACAAACAAGGACATCTAATCACCTCTCAACAAAAGTTTGCTCCAGGCCATTATATGCTAATCAAGGTGGTCAGTTGAAACATTCACACCTAGCTCCAGCAGACAAGAGTCCTTTGTCCCACCCTGGTCATTCCACAGATACATAAACCCTTTTTCCTAGTTCCAACAGACCTCACTACCTCTGAGGATGCTTGCCATAGATGCAGGCGAAACGTCAGGAGAAAATGCCTCTAGAACATGGCCATATAGCCCGAAAAAACCTTCAATAAAGATTATTTTTTAAAAAAATTCCTGAGTGGAGGCAAAGAAGCCCATTCTCCTAAAAAGCTCCAACCTTTTGAGATCATATCCCCTTTCCATCCATGGCCAAAGCAAACTTTTAAGTCTGTTCCCAGGATGTTGGTAAGAGCAGGGGATAGAGTGCATGCGTTGCATCTGCACAGTGGAGTTACTGCAGTTTGACATCACTTTAACTGCAGTGGCTCAATGTTATGGAATCCTAAGAGTTGTAGTTTGGTGAGGCAGCAGCAGTCTTTGGCAGAAAAGGCTAAAGAACTTATAAAACTCCAATTCCCATGATTCCATAACTCAAGCCTTCTCAAACTGCATTAATTCCACAGTGCAGAGCCAGCCTTGGTAGGGGCAATTAGATATTTCTAGATTTAAATCCTAAAATACACAGGTCCCAAAGTCACTCCCGCTAGTCTTCATAATGTCCAGGGAACTCCATTCCTTTCTGTGGGATCAACCAAGATGAATTGGTTTAGCTCCACATAAATGAAAGTTGAGGGTTGCTCTAGAGCAGTGGTTCCCAAACTTTTACCTTCTACTTCTTCAACTGCCAGCCTGCTTTCCCAAAAGCCATGAATTCTGGGGGCTAAAAACACTGAAATCATCTGGCAAACACTGCTAAAATTTCAGTTTGGAGGATAACAGATTGGCTCTGACATATATTGTTTCCTCTCTGCTTTGTAGATCTGCCAGAACTCCAACTTGATGCAGCATCTTGGGTGGAAGAAGGACAAGTGTGGATCCTTGAACTTGAGCCTTATCAGCCTGAAACATCTCCAGGTGAGTGTGTGTCCAGGGCCCTTTTCAAATATTATCGATTACAAGTTGTAGCATACAATCTTGGAGACAGAAGGAGCTACAATGGCCTATTTGCATGCAGAAAGTCTTTCTATCAGAGCTAGTTTTTCTGTGACTTCGAATGCATCTACACTGTAGAATTATTGCAGTTTGACACAATTTTAGCTGTCATGGTTCTATGCTATGGAATCGTGGTAGCTGAGGCACCAAGTACTATTTGTCAGAGAAGGTGAAAGACCTTGTAAAACTACTCGCCTTATGATTTCAGAGCACTGAGCTGTGGCAGTTAAAGTGGGATCAAACTGCATTAATTCTACAGTGTAGCTGTACCCATTCATATTTTGAAGGATGATTCAAAGCAATGTTTTCCTACTAGTATTTCTTCGTAGCAATGTTTTCCTGCTAGTATTTATTATTATTTTATTTATTTGTAACAATGTTGTCCTGATAGTTGTTGTTGTTGTTGTTGTTGTTATTATTTCTCTGTAGCAATGTTTTCCTGCTAGTTGTTGTTCTTCTTCTTCTTCTTATTATTATTATTATTATTATTTCTTTGTAGCAATATTTTCCTGCTAGTTATTATTTATTTATAGCAATGTTTTCATGCTAGTATTTACTTTATTTATTTATTTGTATCCCATATTTCAGCCTATGTGGGGGGTGGGATGACTTGAAGTGATGTGGTATTAAGAGGATTTAACTTGTCTTGCTTTATGTAAGTCATTCCTTAGACTAAGCCTTGCTGCTGTTACCTTTCCGTGGTCCATCTCTGACATAATAAATAATGTCTCATCCTTCCTATCCTGGGCAGATGTTGGAGAAAGGCTAATATGTGCAGGAGAAAATACTGTTATCCCTGCACATTCACTGGGGTAAGGGGTACAGGACACTTGCGAAAGTGAATAAAGTGAATCAGAAACACTGTTTTTACTTGAGTGAACAACTCTCTAGGAATTTCTAAGTCCTCCAGTGTGACAATGGTCAACTTCAAGTGGAAGTTGGCAATATAATTATACTGAAGGACCTACAAATGCCCAGGCCTGTAGCTGGGGGGGGGGGGGTTAGGGGTTCAATTCCCCCTCCCCGCGAATTTTTTCAGGTTTACTCATGAATTTTAACTGGTTAACCAAATCCCCATGCTAAGTCTATGAGACGCAAAAAATTAAGAGTCCCTCCAGAACTGCAAGCACTATCTCAAGCAAATATTGACACTTTATTCACACTGTCATTACTTGCAGCAATAGCTGATGTAGTGAAGCAACCAAGTTGGGGGGGCAGTGTTGAATGTTCTCATTAAGGAGGCCAGACTTGGTGGAGGTGGTTGACAGGGGCGGAGTTGAAGGCTGCTCTGCCCCTGCTGGGTTCTTTGCTTCAGCGTGAGCTAGGAGGCAGGTTTCAACGCCCCCCCCCCCAAATTTTCAACCCTCCCCCCTAAATTTTCAACCCTCCCCGAAATTTTCAACCTTCCCCAAATTTTTTGTGTGGCTACGGCCCTGCAAATGCTTAAAGACATGTACAACTCTGTGGTTAACTTCTGGTGGACGTTGATCATAGAGACATGTTAGAGATTCCTATAGAGAGCATATAAATAATTAAAAAATAATTAAAATGTTATATCCTGCTCTTTCTCCCTGAGGGGACTCAGGGCGAATTACAACAAAAATTCAATGCCAGTCCCAATACATAAATAACAACATAAAACAATCAATTAATCCACATCTAACATAATATAATATTAATAAAATATGTGAGAAACCAAATCCATGAAAGTCAAACCCACAAATGTGGAGGGCTAACCATATCATAGCTCTGGGATGCAAAAACATTTAGATCCTATGGTTCCCTAGTTCAACCACAGATTATAATTTTGCATTGCAGAAGGCAGTCTGATGTCTAGACTTACCTGGAATACTTCAGAGAGAAATTAATTTCATTTGCTTTTCTATCTCAGCAGGTGGTGAAAATTTAGAGGAAATACATCAGTCGGCAAGTACTGAGAGAGGAGATTCAGAGAATCTGGCAAAGGGAGCTGCAGATTCAGAATCTCAGTCATATGAAGGCAAGACAGTCCCATTGGCCAGTCAACAGGGCACGGAAACTTCTATAGGTGGTGAGGAAACGCTCAGCCAAAGTTCAACGCTCACTTCAAACGAGAAGCACCATGCCTGTGAGCAATGTGATAAGGCCTTCAAGCGGCTCTCTAACCTTGTCCGACATAAACAGATTCACTTGAGAAGGAAGGCCTCTAGACAGAGACAGAGACAGAGACAGAAACAGTCAGCAATGCCCATGAGTCAAAAGTCACGGTTAACGACAAACCATTCAAAGAATTCACGTACCTGTGGCCCCTGTGGGAAACACTTCCGTTGGCCCTGTGAACTTACCTATCATAATAAAAAAGTGCACTGGAAGAGCAAGTCAACCAAGTGTGATCAGAACAAACCGAAAGAAGTCAGACCAAGCCGCCTCCATCAAAAGTCCATATCAGTGCCAGACCAGATCCAAAAGGGGCAATACATCTGCAATCAATGTGGAAAGGTCTTTCTGTGGCCCTCTGATCTTGCCCATCATCAGCGTACTCATTCTAGGAGGAATTCAGACAGGATGAACCTGAATCAGTCAAGTGCCATGGTGCAACCAAAGAACACACTTGCAAGCCAAATCCTAAATGAAGACTCAGATGGCACCACCTCTACCAAGAATGATCATTTATGTAACCAGTGTGGAAAGGGCTTCCGATGGCATTCTTCTCTTGCTCGACATCAGCGATATGAACATTTTAGTGGGAACACAGTTAAACTAAACAAGGGCCAATCGGAAACACCAATGACAGACCGGAGTGCTCAATTCACTAGGTCACATATTTGTAGTCAGTGTGGGGCAACCTTCCAATTCCTTTCTGACCTTGCCCAACATAAACTCATTCATGTTAGGAGAAAGTTAGTGAACGGTAAACATACTCAGTTCAAGAAGTCTTGTGTCTGTGGTCAGTGTGGGAAAAAGTTCAAGTGGTCTTCTCACCTCGCCCGACACATCTGTACTCATCTGCAGGGCAAGTTAAGGACAAGATACCCAAGGGGCAAGCAGAGGACAAGCTGTCACACAGCTCATCAAAAGTCCTACTCTTGTGCCCACTGTGGGAAAATTTTCCGTTTTCCTTCTGAATGTGCCCGACATGAATGGACTCATATTAGAAGAAAGCAAGAGAAGTCTCACCTTTGTAAGCACTGTGGACAGCGCTTCAAGCGTGCCACTGACTTCATCCTACATATGTTCACCCACCCTTCAGAGCAACCCTATGGCTGTACTATTTGTGGATTTCGGTTCAAGTACCAGGTGCAGCTGAAGAAGCACCAGAAATGGCATAGTGGAAGCTGTGAAATGGAGGAGAAGGAGGTGGAATTAGGAGAAAAAGACCACAATAGTCAGGATGTGCATGGCCAAAGACTTCCTGATAAGAGTATCCCCACAGTTCAGCTGCAGCGCCTTAACCTTCAAGGTTTTCAGGAGGACAACAGATCTTTTGCCAGCCTAAAATCCTGTGAGTGTGGACAACGCTGCACCACAACAAGCAATAGCCTTGGGCTGCTTCCCCAAAACAGCATTTGGGAAATCGGAATCAGTGGGGTTCCTCATATCCTGCCCCTTACACAGATTTGTGAGTGTGGATATTGTGGAATCGACAATGGCAACTTTGACATGAAGCCCCCTGAGCAGCCTCACATTGAAACTGGCATTTCAGCCAGTGCTGAGTTGCCACTTGCTCTGCCCACTGAGTCCACAGTCTTGAGGAGCCCAAGTGAAGGCCAAAGGAGTATGTCTTACATGCAAAGGAAGACAGCTTCTACTATACACTCTTGGTGGTCTCATGCTATGGCCGGTCAGATTCAGAAGAAATCCTGTTCTCTCATTTATCCTGATTTGCCTCTGCAGGAAGCCTCCCCTTTGGCAGACAAGAAGGAGTCTTTTGCTTGCCCCAAGTGCTCAAAGGAGTTCCACTTATTTTACCACCTGAAGAGGCACATGGCTGTCCACCAACCTGAGAAGCCGTATGAATGTCCAACCTGTAAGATGTGTTTTGCTCGCCATTCCTATCTGTTAAAGCATAAGAGGAAGCACACCACAAATTTGAGACACGAATGCCCAGAATGTGGCAGCTTCTTCACTCAGGCTTCATACCTGCGCAAGCACATGAAGCGACATTAAAAGAATACACATACATGTTTGTTGATTTTGGAAACCAGGGCTTACCATTAGATAGGACTAAATAGTCTCCCTTGATGAAGGTTATGTGGTTATGCATAAAGGGCAGAGAAGCAGAAGGAAAGAATGTGGTACTATAAAATCTACCATGAGGTCATCAGGAACAAGATGTCAAATATTCAGTTTAATATTATATTTTTACCACCATGATTTTTTTTGTCATATCAGGAGTAACTTGAGAAAGTAACTTCTTTTGTGAGAGAATTGGCTGTCTGCAAGGACGTTGCCCAAGGGACGCCAGGATGTTTTGATGTTTTATCATCCTTGTGGGAGGCTTCTCTCATGTCCCTGCATGAGGAGCTGGAGCTGATAGAGGGAGCTCATCCACGCTCTCCCCGGATTTGAACCTGCGACCTGTCAGTCTTCAGTTCTGCCGGTGCAGGGGTTTAACCCACTGTGCCACCGGGGGCTCCTATACCACCATGATGGGAAGCCATCCATTTGAATTTTCTTGCTTGCATATGTATGATGGGTCTATGGAGTAAGCTGTATGATTTCATTTTCTGAGTTCACCAATTTGGCCGAGGAACCAGAGAAAGGCCTTAATAATTTTCATGAGGTGCTGTTGTAGTCCAACCTTTGATTGTGCCTATACCTGATCTCGGAGCCCCCGGTGGCGCAGTGGGTTAAAGCACTGAGCTGCTGAGCTTGTTGATCGAAAGGTCGCAGGTTCGATTCCGGGGAGCGGCGTGAGCTTCCGCTGTCAGCCCTAGCTTCTGCCAACCTAGCAGTTCGAAAACATGCAAATGTGAGTAAATCAATAGGTACCGCTCCAGTGGGAAGGTAACAGCGGTCCATGCAATCATGCCGGCCACATGACCTTGGAGGTGTCTACGGACAATGCTGGCTCTTCAGCTTAGAAATGGAGATGAGCACCACACCCCAGAGTCAGACATGACTGGACTTAATGTCAGGGGACTACCTTTACCTTTTTATACCTGATCTCACTGGGGATTCTGCAGATCAGCAAGAACATCAGGATTCTTTAAGCCCTGAGAATGAGAGCTGTCTGTTCAAGGGAAGCCACTTTCCAGAAAAGCAGTTCCCTAGAGATGCAAGGTCAGAGGCAGAAATGAGCTCAGGGGAGGAAGATGCAAGAGAGGAATAATAATAATAATAATAATAATAATAATAATAATAATAATAATAATAATAATAATAATAGCTTTATTTTTCTACCCCACCTCCATCTCCTCGAAGGGACTCAGGATGGTTTACATGGGGCCAAGCCCGATCAACACAGTTAAAATGTAGCACATTAAATACATAACCACAACATAAAACAAAATAAAACAATAACATTATAACAATACATTAAAAATAGACATCAGGAAGATATAACTCTAGGTGGATGAGCTAATGAGCAACAGTTAGATAGAAGATTAATGTTCCGTCAACATAGACAATCTTGTGAAGCAGTGCAAAGGTCAGCTCACCTATTAATGAAGAAGCCCTTATCAGTTTTGAAAGGACAATGGTCTGGTTTTCTGTCTATATTAGAAAGGCCAGAGGAATATTCCCTCAGTCCAGACAACATTGATTTTGGAGCCAAATCAAACCTTCCAAGGGATTTTTAGTTTCAGGTTTACTTGTGTTCATGCTTCCTGATTCCATGTTTCATGTTCCTGTGGACTGTTCTTGTGTTGAATATTTGGACTTTACCTGCTTTTATATTCCTGGTTTTTGATGCATTTCATGTACTTCGAACTCTGAGGAGTATTCTTATTTTTGGACATTGATTTTTTCACTATTTTGCTGGGTGGCTTTTTATATATATGCAATAAACTGCTTTGCTATTTTATCTTGAACTGGATTGTGTGTTAAGTACAGAAGTGATTCCCAGCACTGGAGTGCAACAGGATCACCCTACGGTTAGAATTTGCACATTGTTAGTCCTTTCACATTCTCCCTTCTTCCTGACATTGAACTGGGCCAGGAAAGAGACAAGACCAAAAATAATCCTTTGAGGAAAATATTTTGCTGGTTCTAGACTTAGGGTGTGTCTACAGTGTAGAATTAATGCAGTTCAATGCCGTTTTAGCTGCCATGGCTTAATGCTATGAAATCCTGGGAGTTGTAGTTTGGGTGAGGCACTACCCTTCAGGCAGAGAAGACTAAAGACATTGTGAAACTCCAACTCTTTTGATTCTATAGCATTAAGCCATTACAGTGTCAAACTGCATTAATTCAACACTGTAGATTAAAGGTCCTCAAACTTTTTGAACAGAGGGACAGGGCACAGTCCCTCAAACTGTTGGAGGGCTGGATTATAATTTGAAACAAACATGAATGAATTCCTATGCACACTGCACATATTTTATTTGTAGTGCAAAGAACACTAAAAGCTACAATAATTAAAATGAAGAATAATTTTAACAAATATAAGCTTATTAGTATTTCAATGAGAAGTGTAGGCCTGCTTTTGGCTGATGAGATAGCACTGCTGCTGCTGCTGTTGTGTGTTTTCAAGTTGTTTCAGACCTAGGTTGACCGTGAGCGAGGGCCAGGTAAATTACCTTCGAGGGCCATATTCGGCCCCCGGGCCTTAGTTTGAGGACCCCTGCTGTAGATGAGCCACCTGTCTTGTCTGGGGTAGATAGAAATCAACAGGATTTAAATTATTCATAAATAAATTGAAGTTCTGTTCATTTCAGTCAAACTGCTTGAAGCATGACTAATTTGGAATATGTCCTAGTGAACACTATGACTTGAACGATGCATTCAAAATCAATTCCATCTGAACATGAGGAAGAACTTCCTGACTGCGAGAGCCATTCAGCAGTGGAACTCTCTGCCCCAGAGTGTGGTGGAGGCTCCTTCTTTGGAAGCTTTTAAATAGAGGCTGGATGGCCATCTGTCAGGGGTGATTTGAATGCAATATTCCTGCTTCTTGGCAGGGGGTTGGACTGGATGGCCCATGAGGTCTCTTCCAACTCTTTGATTCTATGAATTGGATATTACAGAATCATAGTGTTAATTTTTGAGGTGATTAAAGAAAGGAATTAATTATTTTAAGCAAGCAAAGTTATGACTTGTATAATCACTGCTGGAAGGAAATGTGGACTTGAATACACCGCCCCAGTTCTGTTTTGGAATGGAAAATGTTCTCTGTTGCATTGACATGCCAATACTTAAAACCCATTTTACTTGTAGTTGTTTTTAATTAAAAGTCCATCAATAACTCAGAAAACTTGACATTAAAGATTCTGTCAGATTTTGCTGCTGGTTCTTGTTACTGTCAATGGCTTTTTATCTTGAAAGTACAGTTTGTAGACAATTGGAAGGAAAAGCCAAGTTGACATCACGAGGAAGGACTTGCTCAAATGCCAGATTCTTGCAGAATTCCAAGTCTCATAGATTTTGCCATTACATATGCCAAATTAGTAGGCGTGTAAGATGTAATTACAATTAATCATTCTATTCAAGTAGTAATTTGTAATTTAGTGTTTCCATATAAGGAGTGGTAAGTCAGTAGCCCTAATCGAAAGGAACACAGTAGAGAGGCATAACCAGATAGAGAGCAAGGATGGGAATCATGCAATCCTCCAGATGTTGGATTGCAACTCCTAGCAACCCTACCCTAGGTGAAGTTTGCTATAGTCTGAAAATATCAGGAAGGCTGCATGATCCTTATCCTTGGTGCCAGTGGTGTTTCCAGTGTATGGGGAATGGAAATGTTGTAGTGCCAATTCAGCAGTTTGGGCAAACTCAAAATTCAACTGTTGCTGCAACATGACTAAGGAATGTAAAAAGATGTCCAGATCTCAGTCCAGTCACAAATTTAGTTATGCAGCCAGGTAATTTTAGACATGGGGTTCATCTACATGTACAAATAAATCCAGGGCATACCTCTGACTGCCCTAGAAGGTGAATATAATGTCTGTTTTTGTTCTGCTGCAGTAGCAGAATGATATCCAAGTTGTCCACTAGGTGTGAAAATAGTTCAAATCTGCAGAAACTGTTACTTTACCTTGGATGTCCTTTCTGCTGCCGCCAAACTGGGAGAGGTTCTGGCTATTGCCTTTACTGACATCAGCAAAGGTGCCAATGCAACCAGGGAGAAAGAGCAGGATAACCTTTACTTTGCATTATGGACCTGAATTTTCTCGACGTCATTTGGACATGCAGGTTCAACTTCAGATCTCATGCTGGATTTTGGGCCAGCATGGAAAACCCCTTGGTTTTTGGGCCTATGGAATGTGAGCTATTTAGATAATATCTCTTCAATGTATTGTCGAAGGCTTTCATGGCCGAAATCACTGGGGTGTTGTAGGTTTTTCCGGGCTATATGGCCATGTTCTAGAGGCATTTTTCTCCTGACGTTTTGCCTGTGTCTATGGCAAGCATCCTCAGAGGCATCCTCACTACCTCTGAGGATGCTTGCCATAGATGCAGGCAAAAAATGCCTCTAGAACATGGCCATATAGCCCGGAAAAACCTACAACAACCCAATGTCCCTTCAATTTGATAAGCCAGTCTTGCTGACTTTGAGTGCTCCGCTTGATCATTTGGCCATATGAGGACCAGGATGCCAACTCCAAAGTCCTGCCCTTGATAGTACCACTGTACAAATTCACAAAAAAATTCCCAATCCAGTTTAGCCAAAATGGATGAACAGAGAATTCCTTTGCTGCAAATCCAGCACTCCTGTCAGTTCCAGATACATCTATTGATGTTTTCATTTTGATGTTCAGGATGAACCCCTGTGGTCATTTCTACTCCCTCCTCATTCTTGATGAGTCCAGAGTGAATTTTAGGGAGTCACATTCTTTTATATGACTTCTTTTATAGGAAAGGGAATTTAGTTCTTGTCTGCCCTGACAATAGTTTTTACCTGCATCTGCACTTTGTTTTGCCACTCGAAAACACTTAAGTGTAGACATGCACCCAACATCAGTATCTTTCAAATCACAGATACATCACTGGTTTCATAAGCCTGATTTTTTTTCCAAAGAGAAAGCTCTGGAACCAATTTCATGTCCTTGGTCAAAGGCCAACCAATTATGTCAGCAGAAACATCATAGGAAACTCTCAAGGTCATAATCCCCTGTAAAAATATACATATGCTCAGGTCTTCTGGTTCTGTTTTGTATAGAGCAAGTCTTTCCCTCCTAGACTTTCCAAAAAAAGGAAACACACAAAATCTCCGCAGTCTGCAAGTCCAGGTAAAACCCATCATCTAGCTATTTCAAGAAGCAGGTGGCTGATCTCTAGTTTCTAGGATTTGTTCATTTTTTTCTCTCTAACTAGAGTATATTCAAAACCTAAGAGACACTCTTACTATGTAGCTGGGAATCTGGTGGTTCGAATTAGGAAGACATATTTTTCTTCTTTCTCTTAAAGCAAAAATGCCCTCTTTTGTAAACAAAGGCTGAACGATGACTAAAAACATCAAAATGTTCCTTAATGAGACAATAAGTTGCAGGATGTTTGCTATAGATAATTATAACAGACTTGTGCTTTGGAGGAGAAATTGGGTTGTATTCATATTGTAAAGTTAAAGGTTTCCCCTTAACATTAAGTCTAGCTGTCTCCGACTTTGAGGGGTGGTGCTCATCTCCATTTCTAAGTAGAAGAGCCGGCATTGCCGACACCTCTTAGGTCATGTGGCCAGCATGACTGCATGGAGTGCTGTTACCTTCCTGCCAAAGGAGTACCTATTGATCTACTCACATTTGCATGTTTTTAAACTGCTGGGTTGGCAGAAGCTGGGGCTAACAGCAGGAGCTCACCCTGCATCCTGCCAACCTTTTGGTCGACAAGTTCAGCAGCTCAGCAGTTTGACCAACTGCACCACCATTCATATTGTAGCTGATCTGAAATACCAAACACAAGAGTTGTACTGGAGGACCTAGAGATTCCCACAAATAACATTTTTATCAAATCCACAAATAATTAAATTGTCCATGTAGTCACAATTTTATGATTACTATGTCAAGCTGTAATTAATGTGGTTCTGAGTTTGAGGGACATGTAGTTGTTTTACACTGAGTTAATATAGATTCCCTAAAACTGAGAAACAAGAATTAAGAATCATTATTCATTTCAGAGAAATTACACTTCTGTTTACAGGTTTTCTTATATCCCATCCTTTCACCCACTTTCCCCATATCTATTTAAAGCCAGATAAAAAGTCCAAGATGTTCCCTAAAGAGAACATCCTATTGTATCTTCCTTCAGCAACTTACCCCACAATTACAGGGAGGATGTCAGAGCTAGAAAAGGCTTTCCGTAGGTTTGCAATTTATGGCGAAAGCTCCACCAGCGGCAATGAAATGACAAACAAGAACTTTTCTAAGATGTTGAAAGAGTGTGGTGTGGTGGACGGAGAGATGGTTACCAGCACTGATGTGGACAACATGTTCAACAAATACAAGTAAGTTGCAAGGACACGGACCAATGGCTGGTGATCAGTGCCAAAATCCAAGCCAGATAAGTAGATCACTGTATGGTTGAGAAAGGCAGGCTATAAATATTATAAATAAATAAATAAATAAATAAATAAATAAATAAAAAAATAAAAAAATAAAAAAATAAATAAATAAATGATAGGCTTCAGATGACAAGGGACAATACAAGGGGCATTCATTAAAGATTTCCCCAGACTCACTTCCTGTGGACCGAGAGCAATGAAACTTGGCACAGTTATTAGTCCATCTCTAAATAGGTGACACACACTTCTTCCATCTTTTTAAGCAACTGTAAACACTTCGCTTGTAGAAGTCGACAGACTTGTTGCTCCAAAAGCCACATTGTGACTTCAGAAATTAGAGTATCATCATCTGAAAAATGCTTGCCCTTCAAAAATAAATTCATTTTGGAAAGAGGTGGAAGTCTGATGGTGCCAGGTCAGGTGAATAAGGGGGATGAAGTAGAATTTCAAAGCCACAGGAGCATGCTTCCATTTGGGCAACACGTGAGTTGTGATCTGGTGCATTGTCTTGCAGAAGGCGGATGCTTTTGGTAAGCATGCCATGTTTCTTGGTTTTGATGGCCTCCTGCAATTTCCACAGTAATGAAGCATAGTGCTCCAGTGATCATGCCCCCCTTTGCTAGGAAATCCATCAATACCACTACCGTGAGCATGACCTTGCCTGCTGAGAGTTGGGAACGTGCCTTCTTTAGAGGCGGTGAGTCATGATGCTTCCATTGCATCAATTGGACTTTATTCTCAGGATCATAGTGATGGGCCCAGCTTTCATCCTGTGTGATCAGTCTGTTGAAAAAGTCCTCCTGGTTTCCATGGCACATTGTCAATAGAGCCTGAGAGCATTAAACTCTTTCCTGCTTCTAGAAAGGTGTGAGCAGCCAGGGAACCTAGCGAGGGGATAAATTATGCATGTGAAGATGGTCTTGGATGATTTTTCCTCACAGACCCCAACACTAACCTTGATATTTTGGCCTAGGTGGCAAATGGTTATGAGCTGATTTTCCAAAACGATGACCTCCACCTGTTGGATGGTGTGTTCATCAGTAGCAGAGTTGGATGGAATTGGAGCTGTTTTCACCAAAGTCTAACCACATTTGAATTCACGATGCCAGTTCTTGACTACATCATATGATGGGGAATCATCACCATAAACCTCTTTCATCTCACCAAACATTTCCTTTCAACCTTTCAAGCAAAACCTTTCAACTTGATGACTGCTCTGTATTCCTTTGGTTCTATTATCACACCTCACACCACTTCAGCATCTGTAAAATCAAGACCACTATCAGTTCTGAGTTGTAAATTGACACATAACCTATAGAGACTTGTATCACCACACATGTGCAGTTTGAGCTCCCTGTGATAAATAGTGAGTCAGGGGAAATCTTTAATGAACACCACTCGTATCTTGACTGTTCCTCTAAGAAGCCATTTCCTTCCATTGGAGAGCAGAACTGTTTGCTACATAGCTTCTCTTGAATCTCCTAAACTAGTTTGCTTTCTTGGAAGTGAAAGAAGACACCAACTATCCACCATTCTTTAAGTATGAGTCAGTCCGGTTACCTGTTTTTGGCTTGGGGAGGAATTTCCATCTTGTCCTTTAGCTCAGGATGAAACTTGTGCTCAAGTCTTGCCAGATCCACATGCCACTGGATGTGGTTCTCTTTAGCACCGATCTCTTTAGCATGATTCTATTTTGGACACATCCCACCCAGAATATTGTGTCCAGTTCTTCCAGTTGGGTTCCTTCCAACAAATCAGTCTGTAGAAGAGAGATCCATCCATTTCCCATGAGTATCCAGGAAGTGTTAATGAGAAAGATGGTGACAATGCAGGTATGCTAAACAAAATAGATTGTGGGAATCACAGATAACTGTCCTTTCTCTCCACCACCCCCAGATACAAGGGAGCCCGAAACATCAATTACATTGAGTTCCAACAAGCCCTTAAGGAGCTGAGTGGAAAGCGCTTTAAGGGCAAGTCCCCTGAGGAGGCTTTGCATGCCATCTTCAAGCTGATGGAGGGCAAAGAGCCAGACAACCTGGGATCCACAGTGAGTGTTACTTTCCTGAGATATGGGAGCCCACTACATGTAAAGAATGTTCGGCAGCCTACGATATTTTATACTTCTGTGAGATATTTTATACTTCTGTGTTATATTTCTGGCAGAAAAATTGTACAGAATGTATGTTCCTGGGAAGCACAGCTTTTATAAGAGAGAGATTTTAATCTTTATGATTGCAAAGACATATGTGAAAGCTTTTGTGAGCAAGGCTTGTTAAAATGTCTGAAGGTGGAGAAGTAAAGAGTTTCCTTAGATGGAAACAAGGCTTTGGTGCCTCACCGAACTCTTAATATTTTTTAAAAAATAGGATACATCTTTCATAATTCAGTTCTTGGAGCAAAATTTGGGTAATCTGAATTCAGAAGTATGTATTTTAGTTCAACAGAAGTCTTGGTTTTGATTATTTTTAACTGAAATCTCTTTTTGTGTGTGTCAGGAGTGACTTGAGAAACTGCAAGTCACTTCTGGTGTTAGAGAATTGGCCATCTGCAAGGATGGTGCCCTGGGGATGCCTGGATGTTTTTGATGTTTTGCCATCTTTGTGGGAGGCTTCTCTCATATCCCCGTGTGGGGAGCTGGAGCTGACAGAGGGAGCTCATCCCACTCTCCCCAGACTCGAACCTCCAACCTGTCCATCTTCATTCCTGCTGGCACAAGGGTTTAACCCATTGCGCACTGGGGGGTAAATTTCTATTCTATTCCCTCTAAATGTTATGCCTAAAATGCTACGATGTATGGGAAATATTTAGTCCAACAGCCATGAAAATCAATAATTATAATTTGTATTCTAAATTTGGAATATTTTCTTCATTTACTTTTTTTCTTTTTCTTTCTTTATTTGGTAAATTTGCAAACTTGAGTATTAATTGATTGGGTTTTTAAAAATGTCACTGAAAATGTCTCCTTGTTGCAACAAATCTGCCCAGTTGTTTGTGCAATGTTTAGATGTTGTTTCTGGAAGAGGAGACAGTTAGCACATCAACAGGGCCTCTAAACGTATTATTTTGCATGCATTGGAATCAACCCAGCATGAAAACAATAATCATTTATTTGTTGCTTGCCTACATTTCAGAAATCTGTTGCAGCCAGTGTGGTGGAAAGATTGACCGATACAAGCAAATACACGGGCTCTCATAAGGAACATTTTGGCAATACTGGCAAAGGCAAAGGTTTAACTGGGCACGTAGACATGGCTGACAAGGGCCATGTCGGGGCTTGCAAGGGAACCTATGACAAGACCCACTAAATGTGGGAGGAAACTTGCAGTGTCTTCTGAAACCTTACTTCTTTTTCCTGGCCATGGAACTGGGAATTTAATAAACAACTCTTCTAGCAATTCTCTCTGGCATGTTATGTTTCTATTTATCTGAGTGAATGATCACTCAGCTGGCTTACTATGGATGGATCCACCAACATATACTTAAGGAATTATTCTGAAGGCATACACCCTGCAACAAAAACTAGGGTTTGGAAATACAAGAAACCCATCTGGAGACTATTCCTGACAAAGTCAAGAAGACACAATTTGCATTTTAGGTAATTTCCCCCCATTGTGTTAGACTTCTGAGCACATGCCTTGCCTTCCCTTTCAGAATCTGAGTAGCTAAATGCACCTTTGGTAGTAGAGTAAGGTTTCCAGTAATGTATTAGAGTTTTTGTGAAATATCTAGGTGATGCAAAAGAGCAACTCTCTAAAGTGGCAACTGCCAAACTTGGTCACAATCTCAGATCATCCTGAATCAAAATGACAGAAGGATCCCAAAGAGACTAGACTGGAGGATGGCGTTCTCATTGTGTGACAACTAAAAGTGAAAACTCAGCTCAACAGGATGTAATAACTTCTTGGACACAGGATATAATTGTTCTGACCCCTACCACATTCTGTCTATTGGAGTTCACAATGAAATAATGGATTCCACTGTTTGTCTGCTATGATGGTGAATCTTAATAATAATATTAATATTAATAATAATAATAATAATAATAATAATAATAATAATAATAACTTTATTTATATTCCATCCTTCTCCCCCAGGGAGTGGATTACAGCATTTACATACATAGACAAACATTCAATGCCTTTACAGTGATATACAATGAACACACACAAACAAAGGCAAAGGCTCCTTCTTTCATTTCCAGCTTCTGGAGGTGGTTCTCATCTCTGGCTCTGGGGAGGTACTTTTCTCCATTTTAAAGGTGAGGAGCCTGTGTTGACAACTCCTGGTTGTGTGTTTGGCAAAATTATTTGGACTGTCTCTTTGTCTTTCCCTGCCAAAGCAGTACCTATATATATCTAATCATATTTGCATGTTTTTGAACTGCTAGATTGGCAGGAGCTGGAGCTGACAGACGGGATTCCAACTGACAACCTTTAGGTCAGCAGTTCAGCCAAACTTCAGGTCAGCAGTTCAGCAGCACAAGGGTTTAACACATTTCACCACCGCAGCCCCTTGCCCATTTTATGTCACAGACTATAGTCTTTGTAGAGAGGATGTGATTTTGGAGAGCCAGTGCTGATGGCAGTAAAATGCCATTCCTAATTGCCCATCCATAAATTCACTAGAGACATGTGTTAGCTGTACACCACAAGTCAACTGTATTCAGCAAAACCAGTGCTGTGTGAGAATCAATGTGGTGTAGTGGCATAAATATTGTAACAATACTCTTGAAAACCAGGATTTGAATCCTAGCTTGATCATAGAAACCCATCGAGTGACCTTGGGCAGTTCACACTCACTTAGCCTCAGAAGACGACAACGGTTTGAAATCTTCACTGTATAATGACTTGAAAGATTTTTAAAAAATAAAATGATGAATAGATGGTACTTGATACCAGAAATGATTGGTAAGATGTATAAAAATAGTTCTAGTGTCTGTTGGAAATGCAGGGGAAAGGTGGGCACTTTTTATCATATGTGGTGGTGATGTAAAAAGCCCAGAAATACTGGGCGCAAATATATATAATTTTAGAAGAAATTTTTGAAGCCAGATTTGAATTGAAACCTGAACTTTATCAGCATGGAATGTTACATGAACAATTTGATACAAAATGTGTAAGATTATTGCTATACATAATAACAACAGCAAGAATGACCTATGCTCAAAGATGGAAAGACTCCAAGATTCCATCCCAAAACAATTAGCTTATAAAAATAAACAAATTTGTGGAAATTGATAAACTTACTACGTTGATAAAGAAGAAATCTCTAACTAACTTTAAGAAAGACTGGGATCTGTTTATTGTGTTCCTGCAGCAAAGATGCGGCCAAATCCCCATCACTTGTTTTTTTAGACTTGTTGTTGTTCATTCGTTCAGTCGTCTCCGACTCTTCGTGACTAGAAGTGTGTTATTATGCAGGGAAAGGATGTACCAGTGGTTGCTTTTCACTAAATGGGTGTAGAAAACAGAAAATATAACCACCAGACAGTAAGTGTAAAGCCCTTAGATTAGTTAATATTGTTTGTAGTTTGTAGTTATTGGTTTTTTTTATGTTTAGGATGTAGTATTTTCCAAAAAAGAGTAATTTTAATCTTTTGTTGTTGATGATGTTCTTTTGTTTTGCTCTGTCTTAATTGTTGTTCATTCGTTCACTCGTCTCCGACTCTTCGTGACCTCATGGACCAGCCCACGCCAGAGCTCCCTGTCGGCCGTCACCACCCCCAGCTCCTTCAAGGTCAGTCCAGTCACTTCAAGGATGCCATCCATCCATCTTGCCCTTGGTCGGCCCCTCTTCCTTTTTCCTTCCACTTTCCCCAGCATAATTGTCTTCTCTAGGCTTTGCTGTCTCCTCATGATGTGGCCAAAGTACTTCCACTTTGTCTCTAGTATCCTTCCCTCCAGTGAGCAGCCGGGCTTTATTTCCTGGAGGATGGACTGGTTGGATCTTCTCGCAGTCCCAGGCACTCTCAGAACTTTCCTCCAACACCACAGCTCAAAAGCATCGATCTTCCTTCGCTCAGCCTTCCCTAAGGTCCAGCTCTCACATCCGTAGGTTACTACAGGGAATACCATGGCTTTGACTAGGCGGATCTTTGTTGCCAGTCTGATGTCTCTCTCTTTACTATTTTATCGAGACTGGACATTGCTCTCCTCCCAAGAGTAAGCGTCTTCTGATTTCCTGGCCACAGTCTGCATCTGCAGTAATCTTTGCACCTAGAAATACAAATCCTGTCACGGCCTCCACATTTTCTCCCTCTATTTCCCAGTTGTCAATCATTCTTGTTGCCATAATCTTGGTTTTTTTGACGTTTAGCTGCAACCCCGCTTTTGCGCTTTCTTCTTTCACCTTGATTAGAAGGCTCCTCAGCTCCTCCTCGCTTTCGGCCATCAGAGTGGTGTCATCTGCATATCTGAGGTTGTTAATGTTTCTTCCAGCAATTTTTACCCCAATTTTTATCCCTGTCTTAATTTAAAAAATCATTAAAAAGAAGAAAACAGCATGACCATATCTGAGAAAAGTCCATGATAGGTTTGCCTTAGGGTTGACATAAGTTGGAAATGCCTTAAAGGCACACAATACAATACAATTTGAATTGTGTGTAACTCATAAGTCTCTCTCCAGTCAAATAAACAGGGTAATATTATTTGTATGTGATGCATTTATTAGCAGAACACTGGATGCATTATCTTAGTGTGTGGTGGTGTTTCTCTGCAAATTCTAGAGATAAACTAGATTTTATTTCCTTAATTGTTTCTTTTTTGTCTTTTTTCACAGACAAAAAGCTATTTTGTGCTTGCTACTGGCTAAATCAGTGGTTCTCAACCTGTGGGGAGCAGCTCAGCAGTGGGCCACGAGGACGAAAATCCACAAACCTCCTTTTTATTTTTATTTTATTTTATTTTATTATTTTTATTATTTTATTTTATTTTATTTTATTTTATTTTGTTTTATTTTGTTTTATTTTATTTCAGAGCTAACCAGCCCAGCCTCATTTGGTACAAATGTTGGAGAGTGGTCCCTGGTCACAGTGGGCTCTGGTGAAGTGGGCCCTGGTCAAGCAGGCCCTGGTCAAAGCGGGCCCTGGTCAAAGTGGGTCCTGGTCAAGGGGGCCCAGCTCAAAAAAAGGTTGGGAACCACTGGACTAGATCTTTCAAGGGCAAGCATATTGCAAGTGAGGTTGACCATGATGTCATAGACAATTTGATGATGTCACAATTCCCAATACAAACTGTATGTCCAAGCCACTAGTGTAACTGGCACAGAGCAGGTCATCTCCTCCCTGGAAGGAAGACATCCAAGAGGGAACCAGGCAGGGGTTTCAACATCTATCAACTCAGGTAATCCAAGTTTCAAATGAATGCAAGTGTTATTGGTGGAAATGTGGTTGCCCCAGGCACTGCATAGGAGCTGTGCAGTGTTAACTCCAGGGTTGTTACTACTGTATATACTCACTTTAATCAGAAGTTCAACCCCAAAAAACTGTGTCAACGTATCCAAGGGTCAGATAAGTACTGTGCCTTAACTCTTATCTAAAAAAGAACCAGAGTGGCAAAAATGAGAGCTCTGTCCATTTCAAGACAGTCTGAAAGAACACTGCTTGCCTCTACTGTCTCTGATATGGTGTTGTTTCTGGCTTTTAAAAAATTTCCTGGGTGGGAAAATGGTGGCTGTGATGGCCAGGAGTGGCTGCCCTCTCCTCCAAAGGGGCACTGGTGTTTTCCCTTCTCTGCAAAATGACCTTTGACTTATCCATGGGTCATGTTAAAATCTGTAATTTTGGGCCAAAACCTGCTCTTGACTTATATATAGTAGGTGTTTTCTGGCCAGGCTTGAGAACCTCTTCACCATTTTTGAGCAAGATTGACAATTTTAGAGCATCACATTTGTACACTTGTGGCCATCAGTTTGCAGCAATTGAAGAAAGCAAAGGGTGCAAGTGGGTAAAGAGAGAAACTGACATTTTAAAAATAGCAAAAAATATGGAGCAATAGAAAATAAATCGGAACTGCCAAATCAGGATCATTTGAGGTTATGTTTTTAGGCTGTGGAAGGGCTCATAAAATAGGTAAAAATGTGGACTAACCCCATAGCTGCTGAGAGCAGAAGTACTGTATGAACCTCATCATATTAGACAACAAGGGTAACAGCAGGGGGATTCATTTGGTATCACATCGAATCCATGGGGCAGCAGGGGAATCCATTGGCTTGCACCCTACATCATACACAGCACTGACTTCCACATCACTCGGGGGAAAGCATCGTTGCCTGCTTCCCGCTGTGCTGTCCACATTGCTGGCATCAAGAACACATGAAGCCTCCTGTACTCTCATTGCTGTGTCATACGATGCTTTCATAACAGTTGGGGGATGGATCCCTGCTGGAAGTAGCTGTGCATTGTTTGATGGGATCCAGCAGATTCTGTCCCCGAACTGTGCTGAAAGCATCCTCCGACAGGGGAAGTTTGCCTGTGTGATGAAGTGCTATATCATCAATTAATGCAACTCAAGGAGGATTTACTCTGGATCTTACAGGAAACTCTGGAGTGATCCTGGCTTTTCAAAGGTGTTGACCACTGAATCAGGCTACATTTGGCCTGATCCACTGTCCACACATCCAATGGACCTAACAGCGGTATTGCCAGCCACCAAAAAATCCCTGCCAGACATTTGGTGAGATCATGCCAGAGCAGTCAGCCATGTATTTCTGGTGAGATTGCACCAGAGCACTCAGCAAACCTTTGGCAAGGAGCTACTTTTGGCTGGTAGTGCATTAGCCCAAGTACATCTTTGGCTTGGCTAACCGTGTGGACCCCTAAAGAACTCCAGGAATGTTCTTGAGCTGCAATGGGAATGGGAAAGTAAATTTACACACAAGAGCAATTGCCACCAGATCATCTCCTGTTGCCTCCTGTCACGTCCTTTTCTCATAACTACAGGAGGAATGGCAAATCTGGAACCAACCTTCCGTAAATTTGCCACTTATGGGGACACAGCTGCCTCCGGCAATGACATGACAAGCAAGAACTTTACTAAGATGATGAAGGAATGTGGTGTCTTGGATGGGAAAACAGTGACTGGTACTGATGTGGACATTCTCTTCAGCAAAGTCAAGTGAGTTGGCGGGGTAGGATGGGCATTTTAGTGGTGATAGTATGGTTGCAACTAAATGAATAGATAGGGTTGCTTCATATTTATTTAGTCATTTCACTAGTTGTGTGGTATTAGTGTTCTCTATGGGAAAATAAGTCATACAGGCTAAAATATCTGTTTAAACCTTATTAATATATTAATATATTAATAGTTCCTCATAGCTATTAGTCATTCTTACTAGAGGCTGCTTCTGTGCATGAAACAAAATTGGGTGGTGGAGTCCTGAGCTTATAGAATTGTTCATCTGAGTCTAAGAGAAGGATCACTGTAATGCATTTCTTTTTAAAAAAGATCCTTACTTATAAGTAGAAAATAAACCCAGTTTAGAGATGATTGTGGGCCTGTCCAGACAGTACCTTTATCCCAGGAGATTCTGCAACAAATAGGAGGGTGTCCAGATGCCGTTCCCTGTAAACCTGGAAGCAATCGCTACAAACGGCAAAAACCGTGAGATTTCCTGGTGCAGGAATATTGTGGTTTTGAGCTGAATATCTGGATCTTCCCATGTCTGTATGTCCCTGTACTCAGAAATCACGGGATTTTTTATTTGGGGTTGTTCCCGGGTTTTAGATGCTTGTTCCTGATTGGTCAGTTCCTAAGTAGAAGGTGACACTCTAGTAGAAGGCAAAAACTTTGTTTGTGTGCCAAAAACTTCATGAAATGTGTGGAGGGCACAGTTTCGCTGGCCTGCACATAGAACGGAACTTTTGCAGTGATTCACATAACAAAATCTCAGCATATCCATATCTTGTGGGGTTTTTTAAAAACGGCAGTTTCCAGCAGAAGTCCCATGGCAGCCATCTTGGGAACTTCTAAATCTTTGAACAAAGGATCAAGTCTGGACAACAGAGGCAGAAATCCTGGGAGCAACAGGTCTGTGTGTGGACCTCTTCTGAAGTCCTGGGATTTTTTGCCCCTCACTAAAACCCATGATTTAGTGCTGTCTGGAAGTGCCCTGTAGCAGAAAATTATTCCCTATTATTCTTGTTTCTATATTCAACGAGTTAAGGTTTTTTAAAAATGTGGTGTAACATTAACATTCTATTCCATCTACAATGCAAAGTGGTCAAGTTAAGTACAGGCATACCTCAGTTAACAAAGTCTCTAACAAAGACTTTTTTGCAAAGTCTTTTTCATCCTTCCAACCATATTTTCTTCTTAACCCTCTATCTGGAGTTAGTAGGTCTCTGTGTTCAGCAGCATCAGAGTTAGGAAAGTGTAGCCACCAAAACTGAAATTATTAGAAAAGTGGAAGCTGGTGAAACAAAATAAATAATCCTTAGACATATTTTAGAAGAAGCTTTCATGTGGGTTCTTTATGGTACTGAATATATACTTATGCAAGGTTTAATTGACCTATGACCTTATCACATGGGGAGCCCCCCCCCCTCCCGTGTTGTTTTGCCAACAAGTATAGTGAAGCAAGTATAGTGAAATCGATTTGCACAAGGGGCAAATCGATTGCCCAAATAGTACAGAAGCCTCCCGTGTTGTGGGGGAAATGTCCAGCAATGCTTTAACTCCAGTTGGGGGCAGAGCCACAGTCAGAAGTCACATGGTGTTGTGTGATGTCTGCTGTGGGGTTCCGTCTCAGAAGAAGACTCTAAGCATCCTAGGATGCTTATTTTTGGCAATGTGATGAGGTCCCTAGTTGCATGTGCATATTACACTACGTCACATGATTTTTATTTCTGGGTTATAGATGTCATTTCCTAATTGGTTCTATCATAAAAACATAAAAAAGTTTATTAAACTCCAAAAACGTTGTTTTTGTGAGACATCGTGCACCACATTTTGCTATACTTTTTCAGTGACTATCTCATAGAACCTCATCAGATGGGGTGAATTCAGTATCCTTGGAAGCTTTCACCCCATCTAGAAAATGGAGCCCCATGCTGGACATCACGTTGTGTGAGTTTCAGCAGAGGTCCCGCCCCCTACCAAGGAGAAAGCGTCGCTGGATGTTTCCTCCCCAACACGGGAGGCTTCCCGTGTTGTGCTGGCCCCAATGGAGCCAACACGGGGCCTCTCTGTGAGGGTGAAGCTTTTGCCATGTGATGGGAAAAGCGTTGCGGAGAGGGAGCTGTGCGCGGGGCAACAGATTTGCCCTGCTGCTCCCTCTTTCCTCCCGGATGCCAGATGCTTTTTTTGGCCTTTATGATGAGGCTGATAGAGTCTCAACCACTTCAACTTAGTTTGTGGCAGCCGCAAAGGCAACATTTTTCAAGTAAAACTACTTTCAAAGTAAGTGCCACATAATTAAATAGGGAATAACACTTTCAAACCAGGAACAGATTTTTTTCCAAATTTTGTTACATAGTATTAGTTATGCATTTTTTTAAAAAAATGCTGGAACTTTTAAAATTACTATTCTGCTTTTATTATGTAGTAGCTATTTCTAATTTTTCCATGCTATCCGTGCCTCTAGTACAACATTTTGTTTAAACATTAATACCCACGGAAACATCTGCTTTGAGGTATACAAGCTGAATACCCCTTATCTGAAATACTTGAGATCAGGGGTGTGTTGGATTTCTGATTCTGGAATACAGCTATTTCGCGTTTCGCTTTTAGTGAACTTGCTGTTTCGCGGTTTTTAAAAAAAATATTAATTTAAAATATATATCACGATATTTTCGCTGTTTTGTGGGTTTTTGCCGCCACCACTCTCCAAGGCGCTTTCCCTCCTCAGTCTCCCCTCCCTCCCTACAGCCTTGAAGGACCTTTCCTTCCTTTCCTTGACTCTCTCTCTCTTCACCCGGCAAAGGGATAGGCAAGGAGAGCTTGCTTCCTTTCCTTCTTTTCTTTGCAGCCACTGCACTGACAGGGAGGTGGGGGGAGCCGTGGGGGGGGGGGGGGGGGGGGGGGGGGGGGGGGGGGGGGAGGAGGAGGAGGAAGAGGAGGAGAAGTACTCAGTAAAACAGAAACAGGTTTTATTTTAAGTGTATAAAGACTTTAAAAAGTGTATAACTACTAAAATAATGTATAAATATTAAAATACTATTAAAATAAATAAATAAATCCACTTCGTGGATTTTCACTTATCACGGGTGGTCCTGGAACATAACACTCGCGATAAGTGAGGGAACACTGTATCTATATTTGCATATATGTACATGACCTTGGAGATGGGACTCTAGTATAAACCTAAGATTTATTTATGTTTTATACACACCTTATATACATAGCTGAAGGCAGTGTTATACAATATTTGAATAACTTTGTGCATCAAACAGTTTGTGTACACTGAACTATCAGAAGGCAAAAGTTTCACTATCTCAGTCACCCATGTAGACAATTTTACATCTTGGAGTATTTTGGATAAGGGATGTTAAACCTGTATATGTATCTACTGAACTATTGATATATCACTTTTTTTGTCTGCTGCTGTCCTTATGTATCACTAGGGCCAAGAATGCCCGTAATATCACATATCCAGAGTTTCTGGAAGCCCTAAAAGAACTGAGTACTAAACGCTTCAAAGGGAAGTCACCAGATGAGGCATTGAAAGCTATCCACAACCTGATAGACGGCAAAGAGCCTGGCAATGTTGGCACCACGGTGAGTGTCAAGGAGCTAGCCTAAGAAGACATGTAATTCCTATGACCATAGAAAAATTGGTATAATTCATCACACTAGAGAATGAATCCACTTTAAATCCAGTTCCTGCCTCCTGCAGAATTCTGGGGTTTGCAGTTAAGTGAGGTTATTGAAGGCTCCTCCCTAAACTACAAACCCCAGAAACCAGATTTAAAGTGGATTCATTCTCTAGTGTGACGAGGTCCTGAAAAAACAGTGGAAACCTTTTAGAATAATATGGCCAAGGGTGAGTACAGGGAAGGATTTCAGAATTGATGGCGTATTTATATTGCAGTGTGAGATGGGTCAGTGCCTCACAGGCAGCTGCCAGGTTTGCCTGTCCCTACCCTTGGTTTTGCTTCTAGTTCAGTACTCAAAATAATCCCACAATGCTTCTGAGTTCTCTTTATGGAAAGATGTGGTCTCTGGCCTGAATGAGATCCTGAGACCTTTCTGAAAGGTACCCAGGAAACCATCCCTAGGGATGGTGGAGGAAATGTTTTGCCCCAAATGACCAACAGCATTCCCCTACAATTCTGCAGTACACTATTGACCATTTCATACAGGAGCCCCCGGTGGCACAGTGCGTTAAACCCTTGTGACAGCAGGATTGAAGACTGACAGGTCGCAGGTTTGAATCCGGGGAGAGTGTGGATGAGCTCCCTCTGTCAGCTCCAGCTCCCCATGTGGGGAGATGAGAGAAGCCTCCCACGAGGATGGTAAAACATCAAAACATCCGGGCATCCCCTGGGCAACATCCTTGCAGAGGGCCAATTCTTTCACACCAGAAGCGACTTACAGTTTCTTAAGTCACTCCTGACATGAAAAAACTCCCCAATTTTATGTTGTTTTGGAGCAATTTTTGCACTCCCATCCAATTCCAAGCCTTTCTCCAAATTGACCGGACTCTTGTCACTACTCCTTATGAGGGAAAATTTGTACTGTTGGACCTCCACAGGTTCTGCATCCATGTATTCAACCAACCGTGGCTCAAAAATATTAGAAAGAAAACTCTAGCACTCATTTGAGTTGTTTGCCATTTTATATAAGGGACACCATTTTACTATTGCATATACTGGAACTTGACCATCCATGGATTTTGGTATCCATGGTTGGCGCTAGAACCAAACTGTGGTGGATACTGAGAATTCACTGTACGGACTGAAGGGTGGCGTCTAGAGGTCTAACTTGCTTCTTGCATATCTTGCAGAAATCTGTCGCTGCTGGTGCAGTGGACAGACTGACAGACACCAGCAAGTACACAGGATCGCACAAAGAGCGTTTCGATGAAAGTGGCAAGGGCAAGGGGATAGCTGGGCGTGCCGACTTGGCTCATAACACCGGCTACGTTGGAAACTACAAGGGAGCTGGAACCTATGACAAGTCTCATTAGGGGTGGATGGAGATGTGCCATGCCTCCTGAGGACCTGCCTGTCCCTCTTGGCCATGGGAGGGGAGGACAATAAAACACCGCTCTGACTCATTGCTTTCTTGTGTCTCTCTCTGGCATCTCAAAGAGGAAGCGCTCTTAACGTCCACCTCACCTTCAAAGCCCCACCTAATATACTCATGTCTTGATTTGTGGTGCAAGGAAAATCCACATCATGTCTTTGTTTGTTATTTTGCATGTGTGCCTTCAAATAATTTCTGATTTATGAAGACTCTGGGGAGTTTTCTTGGGAAGATTTGTTCAGAGGGAATTGGCATTTGCCTTTCTCTGGGATAGAGAGTATGACTTACCCAAGGTCACCCAGTGGGTTTCTGTGATTGAGCTTAGCCTCCTGCAGTCCTAATTCAACTACCAAACCACAACACCACATCTCTGCGTCTAACTGTAGTTGGATTTGTTGGGAATCAAGAACTGTTAGGCTCAGAAATAATCCTCACTTGTGGGTGATTCCACAAAAATATAGCAGAGTGCCAGAAGCACAGTTCATTACCAGCAGAAGCTTACATGCAAAGAGTAAGGTGGTTTCCATTCAACAGGATGGAACAGGATTGCAGATCCATAACGTCATAGGTTCTAAAAATATGTTTATTTAAGTCATTCTGGATAGGAAAGGTTCTTGGAGCTAACTAGCTTCACTGAGCTATCTTCTAAGAAAAAGAAGAAGGAAAAATAACAAAATAGCCATATCTACTACATCTTGTCTGGACAATGGCAAGGTGCCTCCTCACTGTAGGAGAACAAATGGAAGAGACACCCAGAAAATTGAGACAGGCTATAAAAATACCTTTAAAGAGGAAATTACATCTTCCCTGAAGAGATCACATTGCTAATAAGTATTCAAAGGCGGAGGGGATAGTGGCATGAAGATGAGCAAGACAAATCCCTTCTAAGTCCTTTCTTGAGACAGACATGAAAAAGGAACTTGGGGAAGGAATATCTCATTCTAATCTATCTACCCAACTACTCATAGAAGGCTGGAGACTTGGGCAGTCAGGGATGAAACCCAACACGATTACAATTTATGTGGTCCCTCAGAAAATTGTCCATGATGTTTTTAACCCCTGTTCTCAAAATCTGTAGACCAAACTGTATCACATTGGCTCTTGGAATATTTTATTTACTTGCACCCAATTTCTTTTCAATTCCAAAATAAATCATGTAGAGGGGGTTTGTATGAGTTGGTTTGTGAAATCTTTAGAAACCCTGACCCAAAAAGTAGTACAGTTTTAAAGATACCATTTGCAAGGTGTTGGCAATCTGCCAGAACTTGTTGTGTATCTTCAAGCACTTCTGGCTTTTGTTGACCCTAAAGTGAACCTCTCATGGCGTTTTCTTGGCAAGATTGATTCAAAGGAGGTATACCTTTGCCTTCCTCTCAGATTGAGAAAGTGAAACTTGCCCAAGGTCAACCATGGCCAAGCAGGGATTCAAGGCCTGGCCTCCAGAGTCATAATAAATGTACCATGCACTATACCACACGGGCTCTTCTGCTAGACCTGAGGGATATTAAAGACTGACTATGAATCCATGTGCATTTCTGATTATGAATATCTGTGCACTCTGAAGTCAAATTCATACGTTTTAATTGGGACTGATTTATAAATCATAGAATCTGAGTGTTGAAAGAGATCATATGGGTCATCTAGTCCAACTCCCTGCCAAGCAGGAAAAACACAAAGCACTCCCGACAGATGGCCATCCAGCTTCTGTTTAAAAGTCTCCAGGGAAAGCGTTTCCACCACACTCCGAGGCAGAGACTTCCACTGTTTAACAGCTTGTATGGTCAGGAAGTTCTTCCTAATGTTCAGGTGAAATCTCCTTTCCTGTGATTTGAACCCATTGCTCTGTGACTTAGTCTCCAGGGTAGCAGAAAACAAGCATAATTCCTTATGACATCCTTTTATATATTTTAACATGGCTATCATGTCTCCTTCTCTTCTTCAGGCTAAATATACCCAGCTCTTTAAACCACTCATACGGCATAGTCCTAGATCTTTGATCTTGTTAGTTGCCCTCCTCTAGACACATTCCAGCTTGTCAATATCCCACTTGAATTGTGGTGCCCAGAACTGGACACAGGTGAGGTCTGTTCAAAGTAGAACAGAGGGAGGGATGCAATAACTTCCCTTGATTTAGACACTATATACATCTCATTGGCTTTTTAGCTGTTGCATCACATTGTTGGCTCATATTAACTTGTTGTCTACTAAGACTCCAAGATCTTTTACACATCAGGCGTCATCCATCCTTCATATGATGGGTCACCCATCTTGTATCTGATACACTTGAACATGTTTGAAGCTTTAAGGGCACGATCCAGAAAGCTTTGCATGTTAGTTCTTGTGCTTAAGGCACTACTTTTCTAAGTTTATTTCTTTGAGCTACCTCGCTAGGATTGGCAAGCTTGTGGCCAGGAGAGAAGGACCTCATTAACCACCCTCCCCCAAATTACTATAAGACAATCTGACTAGACCTGACATAAAGGTCTGAATGAAAGATGATCCACTTCTGAGAAACTAAAACTTCTGGATATTCCCATTTGGGAAGTCTGATCTGGCCACGGTGGTCCACACTCTGGTTACATCTTGAATAGACTACTGCAGCGCGCTCTATGTGGAGTTGCCTTGAAGACTGTTCGGAAACTTCAATTAGTCCAGAGGGTGCCAGTCAGGCTACTTACTGGAGTGACATACAGGGAGCATACCACTCCCCTGCTGTGTCAGCTCCATTGGCTGCCGGTTCACTTCTGAGCACAATTCAAAGTGCTGGTCTTGACCTTTAAAGCCCTAAATGGTTCCGGCCCAGCTTACCTGTCCGAACGGCTCTCCCTCTATGTCCCACCTCACAGTTTAAGATCCTCCAGGGAGGCCCTGCTCTCGGTCCCACCAGCCTTGCAAATGCGCTTGGTGGGGACGAGGGACAGGGCCTTCTCAGCGGTGGCCCATGCCTGTGGAACTCGCTCCTCAGCGAGATGAGGTTGGCATCTTCCCTCCTTTCTTTCAAAAAGAAGGTTAAATCATGGTTCTGGGACCAGGGCTTTGGACAGCAAGCATGACAGCACTTTGGATGTTGACTCAGACTGGAATTGGCTATATGGATTGATGACAATGTTTTTAATGTGTTTTTAACTTAATGTTCTATTTACTGTTTTAAACTGTTGTTATATTTGTTTATATTTGTATCATCTTGTGACATCGAATTGTTGCCAGTGTAAGCCGCCCTGAGTCCCCCCTCGGGAGTTGAGAAGAGCGGGTTAGAAATGTGGGAAATAATAAATAAATAAATAAATAAATAAATAAATAAATAAATAAAGTTATGTGAGTTATGTATCAAGACTGGCTCAACAATTAGATTGAGCAAGGGCTTTGATCGCTGAAGGGGAAAACTGTGCTACCGGACTTGTCCTCTTCCTTCCAAGATGTTTTACCATCTTCAGATGTGGTGCACAATGCTGTCCCGTCACTAACATAGAAGAAATATTCAACTGCCTGTACAATTGGCTTCTGTACCCGGAACGGGAAGAGGTCCCATTTTGTTCATTGCCTTCAGCAGTAACATGTTTGCAACATGTTACTGGTTGAGGGCATTACACAGGTAGTGGTACACATGGTCCAAAGTGTTATAGAAGGTGTGTTAATTTTGATAAGTACATTCTAGCCCACAGGATAAAGAAGGGATGAGCAGTTTGTGTACTTGATCTTTACTTGTTTGAACTTGTGAGCGTCTCTGTACTTTGCTCTGTGTGAGCAAACAGTGTACTGAAAAGTATCCTAACTTGTTTATTGTGGCTTGAACTTCAACAAAGCAAAGCATGAAATATACACAGTGGAAGTGAACTGGAAAATTTAGCTTCCTAGGTATTTCTGAAAACTTTGCCTCCTGGTAGATTTACACCACAGAAATGGCTGAATTCTGTGGAATATGGGATTTATACTGAGGTGAGGAACTAGAGCTTTGAATGAGAACTCCAAGTATCTCATAACATTACGGATTCTAGAATTCTGCAGAACAGAACTATGATAGTTAATGTGGAACCAAACTGCTATTTTGTTGTTTATTTCTTCAGTCACTTCTGATTCCTTGTGACCTCATTGACCAGTCCACGCCAGAGTTCCCTGTCTGCTGTCACCACCCCCAGCTACTTCAAGGTCAAGCCAGTCACTCAAGGATACCATCCCTCCATCTTGCCCTTGGTCAGCCCCTCTTCCTTTTTCCTTCCATTTCCCCCAAAATCATTATCTTCTCCAAGCTTTCCTGTTTTCTCATTATGTGGCCAAAGTACTTCATCTTTGCCTCTAATATCCTTCCTCCAGTGAGCAGCTGAGCATTATTTCCTGGAGGATGAACTGATTTGATCTTCTTGTGGTCCAAGGTACTTTCAGAATTTTCCTCCAACACCACAGTTCAAAAGCGTCTATCTTCCTTCGCTCAGCCTTCCTTATGGTCCAGCTCTCACATCCGTAGGTTACTGCGGGGAATACCATTGCTTTAACTATGTAGATCTTTGTTGTCAGTGTGATGTCTCTACTCTTTACTATTTTATCAAGACTGATCATTGCCCTCCCCCCAAGAAGTAAGCGTCTCCTGATTTCCTGTTTGCAGTCTGTATCTGCAGTAATCTTTCTGCCTAGAAATACAAAGTCTGTCACTGCCTCCACATTTTCTCCCTCTATTGGCCAGTTATCAATCAGTCTGGTTGCTATAATCTTGTTTTTTATGTTTAGCTGCAACCCAGATTTTGCACTTTCTTCTTTCACTTTGATTATATGGCTCCTCAGCTCCTCCTTGCTTTCAGCCATCAAAGTGGTATCATCTGCTTATCTAAGGTTGTTAAGATTTTGTCCAGCAAACTGCTATAATCATGTAATTTTAAAGAGATCTTTACGCTCTTACTATTTCATTAGAAACATATTTTTAAAATGCCCTCATACTACTAAGAGTGCATCTACACTGTATAGTTATTGCGGTTTGATACCATTTTAACCACCATGGCTTTTTTGTGTGTGTGTCAGAAGTGACTTGAGAAACTGCAAGTCACTTCTGGTGTGAGAGAATTG